TGCTGCTGGGAATGTGGTGGCACTGACCATTTACAGTATCATTGCAGGGAAAGACTGGCCTAGGAATGAATCGCTTCCAGTGTGTGCGCTCTTATTAATACAAACAATATTTTAATGCAAGCCCCTTAAACAGATGGGAGCTATTATGTGGACTTTAAAATGAAACAGCTCTTCCTAAGAGCACATCCGAGCCAATCTGATGGCCTAGCCACTTCCCAGACTGCTGCTTTGCAGCAAGAGAGACAGGAGCGTGTGCATGTTTGTGCTCGAAAGGAGGCTGCTCTGAATTCCCATGTGCTTAGCCTGAGGAACACTCCTGTGAGTAGTTCAGTGCCCACCAAGGAAAGAAGGGGTTTATGTTAGGGCACTTGAACAGAAATGAAGCTAGGATTTGACCCCCATGCGAAGTCCTCATGAGTAGGGGTGGCTCAAATTTAAGTCTGTAGGAAGTAGACAGATAACACCAATGAATGGAAAGCACCATATAATCCTTTGGAGGCTAAAGTGAGGGACCAGAACAGAGCACAAAATAAAATGTGAATGAAAACTTTGTGCTTGTTGTTTTGGAAAAGTCATTCTTCTAAACGTCTCTAGGAAAGCGTGTGCTTGACTTAAGTTTTGTATGGTGGTTCTGCCGCTTTTCAGACATCCATCACTGGAGGTTGTTAGTGAAGGCTGTTACTCCGCATTTGTGTGTGTGTGTATATATAGCGTAAATAAGTGGCCAAAAGCACACCCATACAGAGAATGTGATGTGTTTTTGTTGGTAGGTTTTGCCTTTGGTGTCCAGCAGCTTCATCCAGCTCTCATACAGAGGCCTTTTGGGTAAGTCTGTTCAATGGGACCGCAAACAGGGGAGGAAAAATCTTACTTTTTAAAAAAGGAAAGAAAAAATATGATCCTTGAAGGCCTCTTGCAGTAGCAGCCTTCTAAACTCACCAGCAATGCTGAAGTTCTCAGACTTAGAAATGTATACCCATAAATGCGCTCACCTTGTCGGTCATGTTCTAAATGCCGCAGCTGAGTCAAGTTGTGTGGGACGTGTCCCTTCCACCTAAGCAGTCCAGTCCCGTATGACCCTATGATAAAACAAGGAGGTATGACTTGATGCAAGATTGCTGTGCCCCATTTCTCTTTTTTCAGCTTGACTCAATGTTATTTATCTCTTTCTAATCTGACAGGGATCGTTTACAGTTAAGATAACTGATCAGAAGGATATGATGATAAGAGGTGGAATAGTTCTGTTTGGAATTAAACTCTGTAACCAGTAGACTCAAACACAAACAAGCTAAAATGGTGATTAACGATGCATGTATGTTTTTTTCATATAGTCAATAGACCTCCGTGTGCTTTTTCTTATTTATTTATTACAGTAATGAAGTGGTGTTGATAGCTAAACTGTGTGCTTTTATTTAATTGAAAGAGCTGTAGTGAAAGTTTGGGGGGGTGTCTTTTTAAATTTGTTTTTGTTGTTGAGGGGTGACTTTGCCATGGGGAGCAAAGGGCCTTTTTTTTTTTTTCCCCCTTGCTTTCAAGCTGTAGCCTGTGATTTTTAACCGTATTTTGTAGTGAGTGCTAAATTGTGTGACTTCTTGATTTTTTTTAAGTAAATCAACGTATTGCTTGCATGTTCATAATTTGGGGGAGTGTTTGGAGGGGGGTGTGGAGCTCCCTATTAACAATGTGCGTCCATTTGGGCTTTCTAATTTGAGATTTTTTTTCTTCAATCTGTTTTTAATACGTAGTGCATTTCTCCTTTACTTGAGTATACTATTCCTAAGTAGATCTAACTCTTGCTTCTTATAGGCATATAATTAGGAGGTGAAGTCTGCTTTAAACTTTCCATACAGTGTCACTTCACTAATGCACACTGACTGAGAAACTCATTGAAAAATAATGCATTTTGCTAAATAATGATTAAGCTAACAATAAAGTAGGGAAGATGCGTCACAAATGTATTTTGTTTATTTGACTAGAATAACTTTAGAATATTGTACCTAGCTGTTATTAAGCAACGATAGCTTCACAGTAGTTTGATTTGTCAAAACGGTAGGAAACAGTTCGTGTCCTGCAGGGAAACTGTAGGGGAAAAAACTGTAGGGAAAAAGTTCTCCTAGAAACTCTACGTACTTTTAAAAGAGAATGTTGATTCTTCTGAGACCCATGGGGAGGCTGTGGAAAACTTTTTTCCTTCTTATGATGATCCTCTACTGTATTTTGTTCAACGACTTTGAAGTGTGAGGCTACAACAGCATATATGCAGTGATCAGTTTATGATGCCTGCGCTAAGGTAGGCAGGAGGCGGAGCGCGTTGTCTCCAGAGCTGTTTAAGCACTTGTTGCGAAGAGGAACCAGTGAACTGCCCGGGGATCAGCCGTGGAGAGACTTAAGTATTTGCTGAGCACAACAAAAAAGGGAAAACCTGTGGGCAATCCATTGCTTAAAGGACTGTGCAGATGTAGGGCTCTTTCTTGCTTTTCCTTACCCAGAGCCAACAGTAGATCATGTAAATCGTGTTTAGGTCAGGGAAATTCTTCCAGCAGGCTGAATAAGGTTTTATTTCTGGTGCAATGTACATAAATCTAAAGAAAAAGAATGTTGGTTGCAGGGTCATGTATATATGAAATTGGTAATTTTTAATCCTTGGCTTTTGCCTTTCTTTTGCTATGTGCAAACAAAGGAAATTACTAATCCTGCTTCCTCCTCAAAATGTCCAATGACCTGTACCTTTTCTAAAGAATGTCGTTCAGATTAAGAACAACAGCATTCATTAGGATGAATGAACATCTTCATTCACTATATTCCTTGACAATAAAAAGGGTTGCTTCAGTGCTTACTGGAATCTATTTTTTTTTATAGTGAAGAGTTCACTCTCAGAGTATGTTACATGGGCTGCACTGAAATACATGGTCACCTTAAAGCCCTTCTTCCTCCTGTGCAGTTGTACTTTTTTAAAAGTACACTTTACTAATATGCTGTGCAAAATGCGTCATAATGGCAATTCACTACCAATACTCTGCTAACCCATACACAAAAGCTCCAAATGTTTTGCATTTTTTTTTTCCTTCCTACCGGAGTGCAAATTAGTGAGGTGCTGCCGTATTCTGGTATGGTCAGCAGTGTTTTCATATGGTTCCCCACCTACCAAACAAGAAATTGAAAATAATTCAATAATACTACATTACTTTTACTGAGGAGATGTAGAAGTACAATATTCTGAATTAAGTACGACATTAGTATGGTGGTGGGAGCCAGAAACTAGATTAGCTTCAGTGTATGAAGCATTTAAAATGCTGGGAATTTTTATTTATTAAGTGCTGCAGAGATCAAGTCGTCCACCAGATAACACTTTCCCCTGCTCTTTCCATTCAGCATCTATCTTACTGTTGGTGTGTTTTGTAGAAAGCTGTTTGATCACAGGACTGGTTATCTATACAGCTCTGTTTTCAGGATTGTTTATTAAAATACTATCTCTGAATTCAGTAGGAATTTATGGAGGGGGAAGATGACTTTGTCTCCTAAGATAGCATTTCTCATTTTGCTGATGTAATTTTTACTTTAATATTTGTGGGAAAATACACCAGAGTTACTGGTGTAGGATATGACTTGTTCTGTCAGAGTTTTTTTTTTTTAACCTTTATTTTTTGTCTAAAACTCATACCTCAATCAAAGTAAGAACATTCCCACTGTTTTTAGTGAGACCAGAGTTAAATCCAAAGTTATTCAGTTCTTCATCAAATGGTTAGCTGGTCCTACCTGCTTCATATTATTTTCCAATAGTTAGGCAATTCTGCCTTTCCTGAGAGAAGGAAAAGCCCTCTCTTGAGTTTATGATCAAAAGACCTGTATGATACTAGACCATGGATAATCTGGAAACAGGGAATGAAGCCAGAACAGTCAGAAGTTAACCTGCAGAATGCTAAATGTCCTCTTAATGGTATCAGGTGCAAATTTAAAAGGAAGCATTTTAAGGGTCTTACGTGTCTTGATGTTTACATAACCTATTTCTGCTATAAGGAAAGCTGTGCCTTGGTGAACATGTACTCTTTAATTATGCTTACAAAACCAGATGATGCCATGCAAGGGCTAAAGCAAAACATTGAGTTCAAAGTTAAATATCTACTTTCATGAGAATTTAACGTTGAGAGTCAATGATGTGCTACTACTGCTGAATTTCTATATGCCACAGCTCTCCGCATTAGCCTACAAAGTTCCTTCTTGGATTTGAAACAATTAGCTTTCACTTTATTTTTGCTTATAGGATTATTTTTGAGGTCTTACTTAAACACAAACCTTCTGTTACAACAACAACAAAGGTCTTACCAGCACACGGCAGGAGTGTATGTCATTCAAGTTTGAATATCCCAAAGCTGCAGTTACTACTAAAGTTAAATGTGGCTTCCCTTTTTCTTTATTGCAAAAACAGTAAATATACGTTCCAAAATAAAAAATACTGCCAGGAAAGAAAGCTTACCATGTATAATTCTTACACTCTTACTCTCAAAAGTAAAGCAGCAGCTTTTATTTAAAAACGAGGATACTAACAATATCCAGCATAACTGGGAATTGCTTTTTCAGCTTTTGACCTGGCAGAGCATTAAAAACAGTTGGGTTCTGAATGGCTGAGACCTACACGTGCTGGCCTCTGCAGTAGGTAGAAATGTACTTTGGCCATATAAAGCCATTTTACTAGACTCAAAACAGTTGTAGCATGACAGATGATCAAAAATAGCCCCACTGCAGCTTATGCTGTCAGTCATCATGTGTGAAATGGCATGGTGCTGAGGAGCCTGCACAGGGTTTATGTTTATTGTAGGGTAAGATGTGGCAAACAGATAATGTTTCATAACTTCACCACCTGTTAGTTTCTTGGCTTAAATAAAACAAGTCACAAGAGTTGAAGTGGGTGCACATGTACCTTTCTGTCTTGTTCAAGGATATGGCCCAATGTCCTAATGTCTTCAGAAAATCTTTGTAACATCCGTTCAAGTCACCACAAGCACCTAGATAAGCTTGCTACTGTCTCTTCTGTTAGAATGACAGTCATAAATGCTGTATGTAAAGATTCCTTTGATGTGGTGTTAAATGGACTCTTAATGATGCAGAAGAGGCTCTCAATGACTTCAAATTTCGTTTTATACCTCTTCCCTTAATACTTATAAAATGCAGTGTTATATTTACTAGGATCGTACTTGATTGGTGACTAAAATGCTTTTTTATGCTCATCCATTTTGTATGGAGAGCTCAGGTAATGATGTGTATTTAAATGCATAGAGCCAGCTTAAGTATGCTTCAAATGCACTTCTGGCTAATCACTTCATAAATTAGGTGAGTGTTAAAAACCCAACTTACGGTTTTGTTTTATGTTTTCTTTCCCTTCCCAATCCCTATTTGTCACTCTCTTTTTTTGTTTTGTTTTAATTTCTCCCTTTACACAACAGGAAATTACTTTCATTGACATGTTGGGTTTTTATGATTGTGGTGTTCATGTCTTAAACAGGGCAACTGAACATTTCTCTCTGCTAATATTCCTATTCAATCAACTGAGCTCTTTTTTTCTTAAAAAGAAAATTGGTCTGTTCTAAAACCTGATGATCACTTAAACTATGTTTTGCTATGAATCTAGTTGACAGTGTCCTTTCTGAGTGAAATGTTTCCTTGTTGCCCACTTAAGTAAATCTTGAAATTATTTTTAAAATGAAACAAACAAACAAAAAAACCCCTTTCCATTAAATCTTGAATTTGGAGAAAAGAGGACAGTTTTTACCATTGCAATTTGTATCTGTGCTTACAGTGCGCTAAAAGGTTGGTGCGGTCTTTAGAGTTGTCTGTAAAGGTAAAGTTCAGTATGAAATAGCAGTAAATCTGCACGAGCAGTTTTTCACAGATTTTACAAAGATGCAGTGACTGGAAAGGAGTTGCATATATGAAGTACTTCTCTGTGGAAATCCAGATGCAAGACAGGGTTATGAATGTAAGATGATAATTATATTAAGTACATTATTTTCTAAAATCATACTATTAAAATACAACTATGAGATGAACTTGTATGTACGCTTGTGTGCTAAGACGATATGACCGATTTTCAAAACTGAAGGGCTAAGTAAACAAGCCAAGGAAGTGAGTTTTGTGACTTGGAGAAGACGGGAAAGCGTGTACTGATTTGTTCAGAATGGTTATTTCTTAAGCTGTAAATTTGTTTTTTTTGCTTTTGTTAAGCACCAGATCTATTTAGACTTAATCCTATGCCCATCTCCCAAAAAACTCTATGCTGTATGTCTTGCATAGAAATAAACAAGCTGGCACAAAACAGGACATCAGTGGCCTGATAATCAAACAGGTTTGACCCTTGTGTCCTTACAAACTTTATAAAAGTGTGATGCACATGTACTTAGGAGTCACTGTTATGGATTTTAATAGCATCTATGTAGCTTCCCCTCAATGGCCTCTTGTGACGGAGTGAGCTGCACTATCGTTCGTTTGGAAAGTGTGATTCTTGCTGTGTCTACCACACTTGTGAACTTTATTTAAACTCCTTTGTCGCCTGTGTTGGTTTTTTTTCTTATTTTTAATAAGGGTGACTGAGGTTGCAGAGAAATTAATGTGTGCTGAGTCTGCATAGCAACTTAAGTAGGGTTGCCACAATACACTTTTCACCCCCTCTCCCTGAGAAGACTTTACGTAAAGTCAGGGTTCAACCATTTTGTTGCCTTATTGGCTATTGTCAAACTCATCGTAGTGATGCTGTCAAACTGCTCAGTTACTAATAATAAAAGTATTGCAGGAAATAATTTTACTAAGAGTTGAGTAGTTAAGTGAGAAGCAGGGTAATAAAAATGACTTACAGGTGCTTTGAAAACAAATACTGCAATTTTCCAGATGGAATAATGAAGCTTACTCCTTTAGGGTTGTCTTAAAACTGACATCAGTAATTGATTTTAATAGCATTAAACATAATATCCTCAAGCAACGTTAAACACTCCTATTTAACTTGGCTATAATGCTGTGCTTTGGAGCGATGCATCTCCTCGGGCCAGTGAACTGATAATCGATCCATTCGGTCTAGTTATTGTGGCAACCCTATGCACATAACAACAACTAAATTGAGTTTGTTTTAGTTCGGAGTACGGATATGATGCTTTGGCGTGGACTCGCATACCAACTCTAACTCCCTCTCCCATCTTTCAACAGGATACCTGCTCACTATGTCTATCCACAGGCTTTTGTCCAGCCTGGAGTGGTAATTCCCCATGTTCAGCCCGCAGCAGCCGCTGCTTCCACTACGCCTTACATCGATTACACCGGAGCTGCATACGCCCAGTACTCGGCCCCCGCGGCC